CAGCCCCGCGGCGCTGCCGCCGCTAGGACGGGAACCGCGGCCGCCCGCGCGGGCGGCTGGGCCGGGCCGCTGCTCAGCTGCAGCGCCCACAAAGCAGCTCTCCTGCCCCCTCTGCAGTCAAGGAGACGTGAATCTTACAGTCAGTTAATTCATATAATTCAACGTATTTATTAACTGTGGCTTCATGCCTGGCAGAGGGATGTGACATGGACTTGCTGGCTCCTCCCAGTACATCACACTGTAGTTTCCTCAGTGCCAAATATATGCCAAATCATGTATGGCAACAGCTTCCTGCTTTTCAAAAGAGCTCTCCTAGAGGCAGACAATAACATTCATTGTGGTTACTAAGCAAGTAGAAAGGGGCTTCCGGTCCCTGTAGCATTGGTAGTTAATTCTGTAAAAGTTCAAACTTCTACCCCAGACAAAGTATCACCTCTAGTAAGTGTGTTTGTCCAAGCCAATCCATGTGATTCCGTAGCACAGTAAAAGTATTAACTACTAACCACTTAATAAATTACTCTCTAGCTGAACCCATTGTGAGGAAGGAACTTCATAACATGCCTGATGGGTCTGTGTTCATCTATTGCCTAGTAGGAGACAAAGCCTAGTAAGTAAAATATTTTTAATGCTAATGGCTGATGCAACTTTGTTATTCTTGGACAGATATTCAATAAGCCTTTTGAAACTACTGACCAAACTGCTCTTTCCTGTAAGAAATGAAACAGTTTGTGGTCTTGGAGGTCTATACCATGCCTCATGTGAACAGGGTTGGGGAGGTAGGGTCCTTTGAATCATCTTTGTGAAAGAATTTTAATGAGCTGACTCCCAAGTACATCTGTATAAGCTGTTATTCACCTTCTCCCTGAACAGCTGGAAAGATCCCAACAATGAATTCAGAAAGAATCTGAAACTAACAGGAGTGCCTACACTACTTAAATATGGAACAGTAAGTGATTTGTTACATGTTTTTGGTATCTGTGCATTTGAGTGAGAACGTGGCAGGAGCTTGTGGCTATAAATTTATATTTGTCATCCATGTTGTCTTATGCCCTTACATTTAAAAAGGGCAGACAATTAGGAACATCTCTTCTGCTCCCCACTCCACTTCCTGGCTCAAACAGACAACTGATTCATCTTCCATAGAATTTTCCCATGCAAACATGTCGTAAAATAGTGGTTGGAAGGGAGAGAAAGTTCTTAACAACATAGCTAGCTTCCTGACTTGCAGCTCCTCCAGCTTTAGGAAATCCAGCTGTGGAATTATGGGAGTGGAACAGTATTAGCGCAGTACACTTCTGATACAGACAAACTACAACTCTATAAAGTCTTGTGGTTTTTAGTTGAAGACACTAAACCTGTCAGACCACGTTTTAACTTGTACAAGTTAGTTTAATTAGCAGTTACATTCTAAGGAATGATTCAGAGCAGAAAACCCTCAGGCATTTTTCAGTTATGTCTCACTACTTGCTCCCCTCAACTCCTACTTAAAAAATAATTGTTGAAGCAAAGATAATGTTATGGATAATGTTATGGATACCTCTAGTCTTGAACAGGATTTTGAACCACCCCTAAAAACATGTTACTTTTCTTTCAGCCTCAGAAGCTGGTTGAAGAAGAATGTTTTAAGGCAGAGCTTGTGCGGATGTTGTTTACTGAAGATTAAATCTTCTAGTTGTCAATCATTTATTAAGATGCTCATCTCAGTTATTTGTTCTATTCTTTCAAGGGATCTTTATGTTTTTCAGGCTATCATTGTTAATGGCAATGTCTGACCAGTCAAAATAAATGTCATCTAAGTTTAGGTCCAAACCTTCCACTAAATCCTCAAAATGCAAAATGGTATCATTCCCTGCTTGTTGAAATAAACTTGTACTTTCCACAAACAGTCTTGTTTCAAGGGTGCTGAGCTCACATTCTGAAACAGTTTATATATATTTTCTTCTTTCCCTCAACACTGCATAGCTGAAGCAGATGCTCTGTTAAAGAATACCCACAAATAACTATTCTTTGATAGAGTTAAATCTATTAATGGCCATGGAGTTGGTGGTATGGTATATGCATATTGGCTCTGAAGTCTTTATTGCAACATTTCAGCCAAAAGGAATGTACCACTCTAAGCAGAGGGGAGTAATTTACTATCCTTTCTTACAAGAATGCAGGCCAAACTACAGTTACTAGAAAACAAAATGAAAACTTAAATTCATTTACCAGATCAGCCGCAACAGGTCCTTGTTTAGCCTCAATTTACTGATGAATAAGACTGACTATTAAAGGTACAGCTTAGCAATTAAATGGAAAGAAGAGAAGAAATAGAAGAATCTCTTTGTTCTTCCTAAACTGGACTTACATAGCTACCAAAGCTATTAAGACAGATTTTCAACATCTAAAATAGATGAACACATAAGCCATTACCAAGTATGATGAGCTGAAGGCTAACACTCTATGTGTCACTGGTTTGATGATCAGTGTACCTGCTCTTACAAGAATACAAAGTATTGCATGAATAGTTGCCTAAAAGTATTCAGAAAGGAAAAAAAAAGTCCTGGAAACATAGAACTAGAAGCAGAACACTCAAACTATACTGTATTTTTAACATAGTTGAATACATTGTATTTTTAACTGACCAGTCACCTTATGTAGCATGCCTAACTAAGAATTCTGTCATGTTTTTATCCTACATTTTATTCACTATACAAAGAAAACTATATTCATTTGAGTACAACCTAAAAATAACAAAATTAAATACCTGTTGAACGCCAAATGCTTTTCCCAAGCATTTACACCTTTTTTTAACACATTATTTTTTGCTACAGTTTCTGTAGGAAAGCCGACAAGCATCTGGTATGTCACTGGCAGAAAGTGTGTGTTCCATTAAAATACACTGACTTTAATGGAATAGATACAGCTGCAGCCAATTCCTCTACCTTCTGTTTAGTACTTGCATAATATCTGACTGTGTTACTTAACTCCGTCTCCCTCATGCAGTCCTTGTGTGCACTTTGACTTCTTTCTCTAAAATACTGTAAGCAAAACTCTGCAAGACTCCCTGCAACAATGATTAACTATAAAACAGAAATGACAAATTATAGCTCAGCTCTGTAAACAAACATTTAATGTAAACATCTGCATTGTAAATTTTGTAAATATTATATAGATTTTGTATATATTCACTTTTGCTTTGCTCATCCTGCAGCTGTGAAAAGCAGTACACATGGTTCTTAGCAACAGTCTGAGACACTGCATTGTTCTCCAAGGAACATGCCTCAAAGCCAGGTTTCTGAACTATACTTTTTTTGTTAGATACTTAAGTGACAGCAACCTAAAAAAGCCTACATTTTTGTTTTCAAGAGGAGCGAAGACTGGTAATAACACTCTTGAGACTGTTCATGCTACAGAATAAATTACAGAACTTTGAGTTTATTAGTCCTGTATCTTTTAAATGTTGATACAAGTTACAGCCAAAAAATAATAAAATAAAATATAACAGAAGCCTAGTCACTTGATAAATCAAAAAGAGCTGAGCTACAGAAATGAGCAGGTAAACTTACATACTTATGCACATAGTCACTTACACACTACCAAGAGTCCTCTCTTGTAAGTACTTGAAGGGATACAAAGTACCACCTTGTCACTCTGCAACACCTCATTTTACTGAGGTGTTGTTCTGTTGCTGCTGCTCTGCCAGTGCTTGCTGGAGACGCATTCTTTTCCGTGAATAATGTTGCCAGTGAAGAATTTGTTGCTCATCAATAAATTTAGCACACTGAGCATTTACCAGTTCTTTGCGGAAATGTTCATATTGGAGCAGCTCTAACATATGCAAACACTGAGGATACCTGTGTTAAAAATAAACAGATGCTTTAATAAGAGCTTTTACAAGGTACCCAAAGACTGACATCTCCAATAACTAAGCGGCCCATAATTTTTGTTTATCATGTACGTGCTTTACTCAAGTATCAATCCATTTAAAACTACAGTGTTCCAGGCATTAATTCTTCAGTTTTATTCTAGGAAAGGAGTCCAATAAGATCTATCTGTAGATGCATACACATGCTTGCATAGGGTAACTTTTCTAATAGTCAGATTTGATTAAAACAAACATATAGATCAGCTACAACATCTACTTCAAGAGCTCATTTAAAGAACAAAACAGGTTTTCCTGAAACGTGAGGGAGAGTGTAACAATAAGAAAAATGCAAAACCATCCTTTACATCATATAAGCATCAACTTTGAAAAAAATCACTCCCAAAACACAGCTACTGCACCTAACTGAAGTGTTTTTTAAAAACAGATATTTTAAACAAATGCTAAACCGCAGCTTTTAGTTTGCAAAAGAAAGATTTGCTGCACAACTGCTGAAAGACAAATTCTATCATTTTATCTATTCCCTTATAGCTGGACTGCCGGAAATAGCAAAACACACTGTAGAAGGCAGAGGCAAGGCTGCAGGCAGGAATCAGATAGTGACACATTGCTGCACAGCAGCTAGCAAAGGGTGAGCATCACATCATTAAGATTCAAAATGCTAAGTGATTTTAACACTTACTTTAGGTATTTTGCATATTCAGGTTCCTTCCAATAAAGTAAATATTTAAGATAATTTACAAAAGTTTTGTCTTTGAAGTAGCCTCTCTGCGCAAGGACTGAAACAAGATGACAAATAAGGAACTGTCAGTTACAGATATAGGAAAAAAAATCTGCCAAACTTGAAAAGAATATAGGCAAAAACTACACAAAGGAACAGTTGAGTTAAAATTTTAAGATTACAGTCAAATTTTGATCAATTCAAGATGAAATGAATATACAGGAAAAAAGTATATTTCATGTCAGCATTCCAAGCATAAAAAGGTAGTCTCATCCCCATTACAGTATGTGTATTTCATAAAGTGACAAGATAGAGAACAGATTTTTATAACAGAAATTTTTTACTGTAGCATCAAAATCGACAGGGAAATTAAAGGAAGAAGTACAGTATCTGAACCTACTATTAACACTGATAAAATGCTGGTTCTGCATAACCCCCACCTGTTACAAATTTTGACAAACAGAAGTACTTACAGACTACTACTATCCTGTGAAAAATTCATTCGCTTTGCTATGTTTAGAGTTACCAAAAACAAAGATCACCGATATTCATTTCCCAGGATGTTTACATTTACTTTGAAGTACTTACAGTTAAGGTAATTTGGATTAGCAAGACATTGAACAAATTCCAACTCCAGCTGGAACCGCAGTCGATTTCCTGTATCATCTAATACAGATAAGAAAAACAGTAAGAACTGGACCCATACAATAGATCTGAAAGTCATTTTTCAGCTTGAGTGGTATGGAGACAATAAGTTTAAAGAGGAGTAGACAAAGTAATAACTCTTCATAATCAACATATTCATTCAGCAAAAGGTTATTCCTTATGATAATCAGTGTTGGACCTGCATTAATAAATACGGTGATTACAGCCAAACAAGACACGCGAAATGGAGGAAAGCATACTAACTTGTTTAAAATGAAGGAACGGGAGAGCAAGGAACCTAGGATATTTATACAGAGAACATTTAACAGGGTGAGAAGGGGGAAGAGCAAACAGCCCACTGAAATCCTAGCGTTATGTAACTGTAGAAGTAGAGAAAAGCAGCCTTTTTTTTCTGAAAGATGATGTCTTCATATGGTACATGAGTGAACACTGCAGTGTTCTCGTGCTACAACATACACCAAACACTAGTGGTGACCCCCAAAGGGCCTGATGCTGGCTCCAGTATTAACATCTTCATAAGAGATTCTGATGGGACAGAACAAGTTTGTTGATGATAAAGAATCAGAAGCACTGGTTGATACACCAGGTGCCTGTGCCACTATTCAGCAGGGCCTTGATGGGCTGGACAAATGGGCCAAGAGGAATCTCACTAAATTTGAAGGGAAATGCAATCTTACACTTAGAAGAAATAAACCGCTGTACCAGTACAGGCTGGTAGAGGGTCAAGTGTCTGGAAAGCACCTCTGCAGAGAAGAACCTGTGGGTCCTGGTACACAAGCTAGCCACAAGTCAGCGATGTGCACTTGCAAATAAGGTGGCCAACAGCATCTTGGAATACATGAGGAGGAGTGCTGCTAGCTGTGGTCCTTGCACGCTGGTGAGGCCAAATCAGGAAAGCTGTGTCCAGCTCTGGACTCCACAGTACGAGAGACATGAACACATAGGAGAGGGCCACTGACGGACTGCAACATTGCTGGCATGATACTTATAAGGCTTATGACAAAAAAAAATAGGTGAAATCGATTTGTTAAAGGGCTGCCACTAAAATGAAGAGTTTAATTCTGCAATGAATACATCCCATAATACACAGCATTCCCATAACATGGAAACATTTGAAGTTCTTATAAAAAACAAGAAACTTGATTAGAGAATACGAGACCAGTAAAATACAAGTCAAGAACATGGGAAAACTACAGTGAAGAACACTTGCAAATCTTAAGCATAACAAACAAGCACACACCTATCTTGACAACTAAGAAGGGCTCCCAGGTCCCTGTGGCCTGCTGTCACCTACCAGAGACCACTCAGGCACAGGCCTGAGGTTGATCTTCAGCTCCCAGCTGGAACCACCAATGACATTTAACGTCAGAATATAGATGCTCCTAAAACAACTACATCTAAGCACACTTTTCTTTTTCTAAGAAGTTATCCAGGCAGTTACAAGTCCAGAGCCCGCAGAGGACCGTGAGAATTAGTGCTCTGCACAGAAATAAAGCTCAAACTCTTGCAATAAAGCCGGGGGACGAGACGGACTGAAGGAAGCGCAATCCCAGGCCTGCAGCTCAGAGCCTTGAGGCGAGGCTCGGTGCCTTGAACTAGCGACGAAGTCGGGTGGGCAGCGCGAAGCAGGGGCACCCAGGGGAGAGCGGGTGCTCTAGGGAGCGGGGCCACAGCGCGAGGCCTCTCCCAGGCCGCGGAGCCCTCACCTGCCTCCATGACAGCACCTCGCCCCGCGCGCCCGACCGGAGCAAGATGGCAGCGGCCACGCCCCGCGCGGTCAGACGGAAGCCGGACGGTGCGCAGCACCGTTGGGAGCTGGGAAGCCGGCGGTTGCCCGGCAACGGCGGCGGAGGCGGGGCCGCGGCGCGCGCAGGAGCGTTGCTAGGGAGACGGGTTGTGGGTAGCGCCATTTTCCCGCGGGGAGAGGTGCGCGGGCGGTGCCGGCGGTCACGGCTCCCGAACGCGGTGGCCGCGCTCCGGCCTCACGGTGTATGCTAAAGTGCTGCATCACATCATCCCTCGCGAAAACGATCATAATCATTCTTTGATTTCCAGAGTGAGGCAGGTTCCCAGAGTGAAGGAATACGCAGTGCACAGAACCATTACTTTTCCCATACAGTGTTACACAGAGAAGCACGGAGGAGATTGACAGGATTTTGAATTTTGATTGACAGGAATTTGATTAATTGGAGCGTGATGGGCTTCATCCCTTCCCCTTGCGGGGGTTCCCCTCTAACACACCCGTGCCCTAAGGACCTGCCTCCAGAGCGTTGGGATGCACTTGAACCAGGACTGACCGTGGCTCTGGGAAACAGCCTCTTCTTCACACTGTCCAGCTGCCTGTGCTCTCCTTCAGCTTGGCTTAAACCCCCAACTTGGAGAGGCTGCTAAAATCAAGTACAATTCCAGCATGTTTTTCAGGCAGTCAAAGTTCGTTTTTTTTAATCAATCACTTCACTCTGAGAACAAAACAAACTGGCTTCCAGACCCTTTGCTGGTTACCTTTGTGCAGCAGTTACCAAAAATTTATAAAAATGTCACATATGAAATGTTAGTTCCCTTGTATAGTGAAGGCACAAATGTATCATCCTTGTATCTGCATTTTCTAGCCTTGCTTTTTAGAAAAAGTTGCATTTCTTCTGACAGTGTATGGCTATTATCCAAATAAAACAAATCAGGCATGTGACCTAGCATCAAGTAGTTAAGTAAAGAGAACATTTAAGCATTTTAAGAGAGGGTTCTTTATAGTGCTGTACTGCTTCAAAGCAATGTCAGCAAAATTTCTGGAGGAGATCTCTAACCTCAACGTAACTGACCCTGCAGAAATGATGGACTTGGCTATCAAATGGGTGCAGAAGTCTTTTCCAAATGTGGAATCAGTTTCTACAGAGACATTGCAAAGTTGGTTGGAAGAAAAGCCAGAAGAGCTACTTATATTAGTAAGTAATTTGGTCCATTGAGAATTAAAGGAAATTATGCTTAAGCAGGAGTGATTATTTGCCATTCAAATCTTCTTCTAATCTATGCTAAGAGGTTACTACTTTTCTAGCACTACAACATACTTTTCTAACACTAAAAGAAATGAATAAAATTGCTTTTTTAGAATTGTGTTATTAGAGCTAAGGGTAAACCTAGAGAAATGAAATGAAAGCAAAGGAATTCTATGGACAGCAGAACTTAGGAAATCCGGTCTCCTGTGGCTTCCCTCTGGGGCGGCTTACAGGGTCTGAAGCACTGACTGCGCTCCGGCTACGGCCTCCCCATAACGGAAGCCATAGGAGAGTCTCTAGACAGAGCCGGTGTCGACAGCCAGCCTGCCTCAAACCCGTTATCAGCATCTCCATGCTGGGATTTTCATACAGCTCCCCAGCTGCTCTCATTGCTCTTGTAGGGGCACTGACATGGCCTGGAGCAGTCATTTTCACCTAGAGTCTTTGCATTTGTGTTTCCATTGCTGCTAGCTGTAGTGAATTGTCAATATTCTGGGTTTCTCAGGAAGGACTCATGTTCCCT